ATCGCCAACTTTTCCGACCGACATCGTATACGATTGAGCAAACACTTCGTAATTTGTTCCGAGAGTTTACACTCGTTCGACGCGACAAAGGCAAACTTCCGTCGAATATGAAAAACGTAACAATGTAAAAGAAAAAGAAAGAGGATAAAAAAAAAAAATATTTTCTCGCCACTCTAGGAGGAATTGACAATGCTATTGAACTCGATACTCGTTATTTTTTTTTTTTTACTTTCATTCACGATTGCTCTTATGAACAATCTAAGATGCTTTAATAGATAATAAAATTAGAAAATAATTTTTTCTTTTTTTATTTTTTAGACACAAATAAAAAATTTCTATTCAATGATATTTAAATCTATCTTTTATTTGATATATTTGCTATATACTCTTTATGTATAATTTTATTATCAGAAAATATTTTTTGAAGTCAGAAATATGAAAAATTTTTCTTCCAAATTTCCTGTCTCAGCTATTTCACGGTTCTAATGATTGCCTATAATTTTAGCCAATTGTATCCAAATAAAATACACCTAAACAAAATAATTGTCTATATCTCGAGATTCCCACGAGCATGCGAGATCGTTTTTAGATCGCGTAAATCACCCCGATTATTTATCAGCGTTCCTCGAGAGAAGAATATCTGGCACTCGATGTTTAGCCAACTAAACGAGCATTCCTACGGAAATAAACGATGAATACCACATGCGATTACATCGCATGTATATATCGATTACGAAAAAAAGAAAAGAATTATGTTCTTTTAACGTAACGATTCTCCTTTCCATGTTTGAACGTGATCGAGTTATACATATATATTTGTCCTGATGAGCTGATTCATCATATGTTGACTAGTTTTATAGAATTGTTCGTAACGAAGAATAAATGTATACTCCAATTATATATATAAGTATACATGTGAACACTTTTGTAACCTATTAAACAAATGAATAATCTCATCAGAAAATATAAGTAAAGTAAGATGAAATCAAATAAATAACAAAACCTGAGATGATAATTGAATTCTTACAGAAAGAAATAATTATTCGTTTATAATCAACACATTAATCATATTTATCATAAATAATTCATATTCTTTTTTTAAGAGAATTATTTAAAGATTAAATAATAATAATCATAACAAATAAAAAACTATAATACAATTCGTAATAGATTATCTAATAATTTCTATTCTTTCTTTTTTCTTTTAATAATATTCATAATATTTATATGCGGAATAAATTCAAATATGAATAATCATATCTATCGATGAAAAATAAAATGAAAATTCTATATATCCATCTAATTCCTTTCATGTTTATTTAAATGAATAAATAAAATAATACGAAAGTAGGTCATGCGTATGTGGAAATGTCAATAGGTTTCTTCCGATAAATATTGTAATTTCAATCGACCATATTCAATGAGAGAACCATATTAAATTACGCGTGAACGTTATTTAAACACACATCTCGGATCGATTTTACGTCAACCTGCAGGTATTCCATACTGCTTCAGAAAAAGTGCAACACGCACATATCTTCCGACTGGTCGTCCATGAATGCTGTGGTACTAATGATTCAAGGACACGCTATTGACAATCCACGATCTATTATTATTTTTCAAATACGACGTGAAGCAGCAATCTTATTTCGTTCCTCTCATTTCTCTACTTTTTAGATATTAATCGAAAAAGAAAAGATAAAAATCTTTTTATTTCGATAGAAGTGTGAAATTAGAATTTATACAAGATATTACGAGAAGATAATCAAACACTCAATTCTGACATTATCATTTATCGATATCATCAATCCTGTTCCTATTTGTGTTTATTTATTATCAATCATATAATCGTAATTTCACGAACACAAAATTATTTGAATTTAAACTGTATATACTAATTTGATTTTTAGATTCAATTCTCCACATTTTACATTGAATTAAATATTTTTTTAAAATATAATTAATCTATGTTAATCTTTTAAATTTTCTACATATATGATATTTATAATACTATCATTATATGTAGTAACTAAATAAAATAGTATTCCAAAATATTTAATTTTGTTTCAATAGATTTAAGATTATTAGAATAATGATTACATTATTCAGAAAAAAGATATCATTTAAAAAAAAAGATAAAATCGTAAAATAACTTTCGAAAGCTAAAAGATTTTAAGGATACAAGCCATTGAAGAAACTTCGAACACGTGTACGAAAGCACTGGCAGTGAAGTATACATGGTGGGGATAAGTATCGCGCCTCGTGCATGAGTTAATGCTAGCAACTAGATAGAATCATTTTTACCGCGCTGCTCGACTTTGTCAACTAAAGATACATTTCCTGATACATTGAACTATAATTATATGACGTTGCCTCTAAATAGCTAGCTCTTTTCATTTTTTAGTTTTATATAAATAAATGAAAGTGTGAATTCTAATTTTCTTTTTTGGTTTATAAACTGACATATAATAAGTGTATGTTATGCTGCAATTTTATGATATTGTATACACTATATGTATATGTATACAATAAATATAATATTATCCTAGAAAATGAAGATTGATTGTAATTTGAATAATAATATATTTGCAGTAACAAAAGCAATGGTCATTGCATGTATGAACCATTGATATTAAAATGTGATAAATATAATATACAGCATGAAAAGATTACTTACCATTGAGACCATATTTCTCCTGATTCCTCTTAACTTGATCAATAGATAATCCTTTATCAGGATCGACGCTAAAGTACTCTAATACTTCTTCCACTGTTTTGCAATGGCCGTCCTCCATGGTTACCTCTATATTAATACGTCACTAATATCTTATCTGTTCAATGACTGTCCACGTTCATTCACACTATAGTTTTCTGTAATTCAAACATACAATAAATTACAGATTAATCTTTCACTATTTATAAATATTAATGTATATTTCATTTAAATATTATAACATATGCACAAATAAATTCATATTTATATATCAAATATATATGATAGTAATATAAACTAATTAATGTTAAGAAATAAAAATTGATTGAATTAATAGCAAATAATAAAATAACAGAGATAAGTATTTCGGCGTATTTAATCATCATTATATCAAAAATTAGAATATCATTAACGATGAAAAGAACTTTTTAATAAATTCCACAATTTCGTTTAAAAATATCATAAAAATTTACAATTTGGAGAAATGTATCAAAGAACATCTGAAACAAATATGAGAAGAAAAAAAATCACCGCGTGTTCGCGATTACCATCCAAAATCGTTTCAGGTTAAACTCTCAGTCGAATACAAAAACTTTTCAAGATATATATATCGTGATTTTTCCTAATCGTTCGACACTAAATATATATGACAAGTTCAATAGCACAAGAAAACTCACCAAGGACCAATAACGAAGTATTCGTTGGCGACGTGTCACAGAGAAATTACGTTACGGCTGTCGAATATTTAGGTTAGCTACAGGTCCCTAAGATACACTCGAGCACACAAAGAAAGAGAAAGACGAAGAGAGGGAAAAAAACGAAACAAACTGCCACGAATAAACTTGCCGGACACTGAAAGGAATAATTCTATGACGTATCACGATACGCGAGCACAGAAATTTGAGACACACGTCATTTTCTTAACGAAATATTTTTCCTAAATGCTAAGCAAACCTCCTCTTCCGTAAGACTGACACAGCGAACGGCAAATCATTGCACACGTGCGCCACCTCGCGGAGTGCGCCATTAACAAGTTGCAGCGCAGTTGTCCGCGCGCGTCTATAATTTTGTATCAACATAAATATAAAATTAATCGACGATATCTTAATGCATTACGATTGTTCGAGGCTCAATATATTTTTACTTTTAAAATTATGAAATTTCTGTTATAACAATTCGTCCGTTCACATTTCGCGAAAACACGTCACAATACGGCGCAGCGTCCAGTAGGAAAATGCGTGCGAGTCGAATGAACCGAGCATGTGGAGCAATACCATTGGCTGGACAGTGTTCGTGAAGTATGACGCATTCGGCTATTTTCGGTCTTCTGCTAGTCTATTTCCTTGGCGCGTATTTTAAGACATTCAAAGGACATCACTATATTGTCGTTATATAACTATTAATTTTATAATTTCATTTTGGCTACTTTGATCGACTTTTCATACTGATTGAACAATTCAATCACAAATAGTGGATAATCAAATCGATTGATGATCATTTACTGGTTTCGTTATGTAATAAAACAACCAAATGTTTCAAATTGCAATGAAAATTTTAAAGCTCGTTACATAACGAAGAAGAATTCGAATATAGACTTTTTTTAATTTTATATTTAAATTTTTCTTGTATGTATTACAAATAAGTATTTATATCTTTCGTCATTTACTCTTTTCTTTTTTTTTTTTTTTTTTTTTTTTTT